ACGGACACGATCCAACCTGGCTGACAAGAGTAGAAGGGAAATGCACCCTCAGCTTTGTATGAGAATACATCGAAAAAGTAAGTTTTACGGTTCCGAACGCACAATGCTGATTAAATTCCTCTTAAAATGTAAGCTCAGTACCTACATATTTTGCCAGTTATCTCCATACATTTATTATTAAATTGCTAACGTGACAGATTTCCACCTGTTACATATAATAAAGCATAATAACACTATTAATGGAAGTAAGGATGAAAAAAAGGTGATGGAGAATATGATACTTACCTTCCCAAGATCTTACTAACGCAACCATGAGAAACTCGTAACTGTCGACTAATATCACATGGTCGCACATTTTGGTTAGCAAGTTGGACTATCTGTTGTCTAACTTGGTTGGGTAATGGACGTCCGTTGACAAACACACCACCGAGTTGATTTATTCCACCGTGTCCTGCAAAAAGGCAAAAAATCGTACACGATGAATTTTAGGATGTTGATGATGTAGTGAGTTTCGATACTGGTAGATATGATTTCTGTATATCTAGTAAAATTTTCATTACGTTCAGTTCCAGACAGTGTGATTCTATTTCAAGACTTTTACGTTCTTCAGGTTCCTTTTTTAAGCCTCTCACTTAAAATCAGAGCATAACACACTTTGTTTGCTTATCTGTTGCTGAAATCGCTTTCTTTTTTACTACTAAACAACTTGAGTAGTTAAAAATCACTCAGGCAGATCTGTAAATCTCACTAGCTAGATCATAGTGATCTAAACACCAGATTCCGTTTCACTCATCATCAGCAGTGTGCCCAAACAGATTCAGCTCATGAAGGCAGAATTAGTTCAGATCACCTTCGTCTGGTTAGATGACTTGAAGAAGCCGGCATACCTAAAATAGGGTGGTCAATTTGTATAAGATTTACAAATTGTACGGTCCACGTTGACACTTCTCACAGGTGATTAGTTTTTCAACTGAATGAATATGACTACAACCATTGTGCAATGTAAAACACCATCATTCTCTTACACTAGGCAATAGGTGAATTCACCGACAATTTTTGAAAAGTAAAGAACAATTTAAGTAGTATAACATCACAATGGTCTGCTTCTCATATACTTAAGAAAAACTTATGTACTTAAAGTCGGAACTTATCAGAATGCTATCCCTAAGATCGCATAGTTTACATTACATTTTCCTCAAAGGTGTTTTTCAGTTTGTATTCCAAACAAGTCCAATGGAATCAAAAGTCTGCTTTAGTATGATGTGCACTGTTATTATGTAAGCTGCATTTTATAGTACAACATATCACTTTATACCACTAGTGGCAATCAAAAGACAATAATAATAGTTTCTATCGTACAAAGAGGTATCCACAGAATCGTTTTTTTAGTACGAGCGTAAAAAGCATGGTATTACTACCACTTCTTTATACCCTATTTGATTAGTCACAAAAAGTTAGTTTGCATTAAGTCTAGGTCTAGTACTTCACTCTGACGGTTGTATGCTGATACACTACTGATTTTGTAGGAAGTGTTTTATCGTGTACTGTACTATGAAAACAATCCAGTAGCTGAATTCATTATATATATATATATATATATATATATATATATATATATATATATATATGATTAAAAGAGACTTTTACTGTCTAGTAGTCTTATATGTCTTAATAATGACTATGAGTGGGATACAGAACGATCATTTCGTATTGTTTGGGACTCGGTTCAGTCAAGGAGGAGAAATTACAGGCTACAGCATCCAAAACTATACTTTAGCAGTGGGACAAGAAGTAGCTACAGTGATACAATGGTTTAGTGGATAACGCTTAAGAGTTTGAAGCGTTTGGTTCCGCAATCGAGTCTCAGTGAGAACACCATCACTCACTGAGATGCAGTTACATTTGATTGACGAGCCCCACGGGAGGTGAAACGTGCGTCCTGGATTCCATTGTTAACCACTATCTATATTTAATAGGAAATTAAAAATACTGGCAATATCAGGGAATTCGCACAGGAGCCCGTGTGCCAATGATGGTCATAAATGGCTTTCTTTATGAATATAAACTAGTTGTTTAATGTGTGCAAAGCGGCAAAACCAAACATTTTTGTCACACATACCAACAAAGCATTACTAGTTTGTTGTGGGACAATACAGTAAATAACGCTAAGTTGAGGTATGAAGTGTGAGGCTATGAAGATAAGTATATGGGTTTGCTAACTTGCACTCTATGAGATGGCTAATATGTTTGTTGTATAAGGAGCCGTTACCTACCCAATTAAAAATCCTAAGTGAATTAAGAACACACTGAAACGAATCAAAGTGTGATTTTCCCTCAATTTGGGATCAGTTCATGAAATTCATGACTATTGGTTTGAGTAATGGGGGATATATGTTAGTTAACTACTTCCGTCCAGAAGTAATTCATAGATGACAGCTGTGGGTAACGTGGTTTCAGATTGAGGTGATTTTCACAAGTCTCGGCCATTGCACTGATCTGCTGTATAAACATACTTCAAGAGCTGTATCACGGGCTATTAATTTATGGACTTCAATTTTTGTCTTCCACTTTTTATAACCGGAATACCTAACCTTTTATGAGTCTTTATTTATCTGTTGCTTGTCCTTTTATGTTTGTTGTGCTTTCACTTTTGGAATATGTGACGAGAGTCCATATTTACAGAGTGTCTCAGGGACATTCAGTGATTGCCATCAATCTATCTAGTCAACCTCGTAGTAGGAAATGCATTTTAAAATATAGTTTCCAGATACGCTAGTAACAAGAAGTCTGTGAATCTCTGTAAACATAAGTTAGTAAAAACTTTTCATAACGTCTTCCGTGTAATCACAAGAAGCAATTTGTTTCCTTTACCTTTTTAAGCATCATTTATATTTGCACAGAAAACCAGACTACCGGTATCTGGCATGTTGCCATGTAAGCTTTATGTGGGATGACTGAAATTAGTGGTCATTACTTCGTTCAAATAGTATGCGAAATGAGCAATTTTACGGGTAATTCTATTAAACCTTTTCATTTATTGTAATTTTTTATTTATTGGAATGAAATAATGACGACTAAAGTCAGCCACGTCATATAAATTCTGCATAGCAATTTACTGGATACCAGCAGTGAAAAACAGTGCAGAAGGGGAAACCAAACTACTACAAATAAATCTCAAAACAAATAAGTTTTCAGACTGTTCATTGAGAGGAACAAAAAGCGATTCATAAAATATTTTTTTCTGTGAGGACGATGCTAAGGAAGAAGATATGGATAAATTTGGAATTCACAGAAGACAAAGGTCTCAAGAACTATTTGGTCCAATCAATGCGAAAAACATTTCTTGTTAAGTCTCTACGAATTGCCTATGCTAGCACTTGACAACTGCATTTAGATTTTAAGGACAAGTTAACTCTAACTGGCCAGTCTGACAATCACTTACATTTTCACCTGTTCTTGCGGAGTTAAGTGCAAAGGTCAATAGTTGATGAGTAGTTCCCATCTAGTTCTTCTCATTTGTTGTGATTTCCTCTTTCTATATTATTGCTCAACACTGCAACCAGACCCACTGCCCCTCTCCGTTGTACCCTAAAATTCTGTAACTTTCTGCTTATCCATCCACCCACATATGAAACAGTTTCATTTCTAGTAAGTACTCAGTAACGTAGAATAAAAATCTAATCCAATTTCATAATCAGCGACTCAAATTAACATCGAAGATGGGTAGTACTAAAGTATTATGTGGAGATCTTGACAAGAGAAGAATGAAATAACAGTAAGAATATGATTATTTGCCGCGAGAGAAACAAAAAACAGCTCCCTCTTCAGATTAACTGACTGACTGGTTTATTTTCATAGAGTCTCTTTTTATTCTTTTCAGTTCGCACTACTTAATATTACTATTGCATTGTTGGTTGCGCAAGTTACACAGTCACATAGATAGGATACATAGTTATGTGTTTTCTTCACTACCCTCCATCCTACATGATAGTTTACTTTTTTGGTGAAGCTAACAAATTGTCCTCATACAAGAAAGACAATTTGTCATAGTCCACTTATGACCAGTTTTGGTTTCTTTTATTTTTCTATTACGATTTTCTCT